CTGTGCTTGAATGTAACCCAATGACAAAAAAGACACAGGGAGCTAAAAATGCAAGGACATTACCAAATAGATGGTAAATCAATGGGCCCGCTTCATTATACTGATCAACACCTTGAATCCCTAAAGGCCGGTGGGGCAAAAATGAGGCTCCGTGCATGCACAGTCCTGCCTCTGCCCCCCATCCCCACCCCCCCCAGCCCCCACCCCTTCCAGCCCACCTCGAAGCCGGCCTCTTTACACTTCTCTCCCTCATACTTCAGGACATCATTCTGCCCAGGAATAGGTTCCCAGACAGCCATGTGTGTACATATATTTAGAGAACATTCATTTAGTCTCTTAAAAGATCAATTTGGCTTGTCAGTGGGGGGACTGGCAGGGGAAGAAATGCTAAGAGTCTCTTTCCCTCCTCGCCGCCCACCAAGGGTGTGTGTCATGTGATCACTCAAATGGCTCAGCAGCTCGGAGGCCCAAAGACTGCAACCGCAGTAAAAGGGTTTCACTCATGTGCCAGTTTCCCAAATGATCACTCATATTTAAGTATCTATTTGGAGAGGAGGGAAGCGCTTCCTAAATCCACCTGTCCTCATTTTTCTTTAAAGCGGTGACAATGTGAATGAAAGATTTCCAAATACATTAAATCTTCTTCAACGTGGGTTGTGTGGGAAGCGGGAGGGTTGGGCGGGGGGCAGGTGGGCTGGAGAGAATGTGTTCAGCACGTGTATTTCAGTGTCTGCGGTGGGGGTGGGGGGCGAGGGGTGCTGCATTTTGATTTTCCCTTTCAACAGTGCAGAAGTGGGTCTGCAGAACTCCCCTTCTTGTGGGTCATGTGACGCCTGGAAAAGAGTTGAGCCACAGGCTCTGTGATGGAGCATCTGCTCGGTGGGATGTCAGTGCCTTAGGAGATGGTCTGTACGAGTCCGCTAATCGATGAGTCAAGTTCCCCATTCTGTTTCTTTCTCAGCCTCCCCTCCCCACACCTGGCTCTTGAGGGAGGGCAGTGGGGGCTGGGCACTCTTACAGGGCACGGGGACCCTGCCTGCTGATAAATGGCTACCACTCGTAGGCCTGGGAGGGATGCTGGCTGAGCACCGAGGGGCAAAAGCCACCTCCTCTCTTGGTACTGGAGAAGGACAGGGAGCGCGCAGGGCAGCCTTGGAAACTGACAGCCATCATTACCTTCCTTCCTGTCACAGTTGTGAGCGAAACAAAAAAGTAATAAAATCCAACTCAACTCCTCTGCCCCTAAAGTCAGAAGTATCAGTATGATTTAAAAACTGGGAAGGGATCCCAACCCTTCTTCCCCTCCCCATAAAAAAATGCTGGAACCTCTTCAAAGGGAAGTGAGAATGAAGCATGGAAATATATACCATAACACCTGGAAAGACAAATTTATTGTTGCCAATCTCATTAAACGTGAGAAGTAGGAGTGAAAGATGCAGCCTGTAATTAAACACCCCTCTCCTGCACACCTTCGCACACTCACCTTCAGAAGCCAGATGCCCCACCCCGTGTGAGGTGGCCAACTTTTTTTCCTCCAGCACAGATTGACGGTGGCGTGCGGGCCCCTCCCCCGCCTGGGTCTTCTCCCCCTTCCCCTGGGTCTTCTCAAGCTCTCACCACACTAAGTCTGAGTGCTGTGCCAAGAATCTGGGCCATTGTGTAAACTGATACAAAAGGCAGAACAAGCCCTCCTGTCACTTAGAAGGTCCTGACTCATAAAGGCCAGGAAACGCGGGGTCCAGAGGAGGAGAGAGATTCAAGCCACTCCCTCCTCGCTAGTGATAAACCTTCCCCATCTGCTTTATTTTCCTGTAGGCCAGGGGTCAGCAACCACTCTGGCCTTGAGAGCCATGAGCAGCAGGGGCTGGAGGGGGGTGGGGCTAAGCAGTGACAGAGGTGCCACCAGGAAGCTTATGACAGAGGCAGAGACAGAGCAGAAAGCTGAAAAAAAGACAAGCAGCAGAAGAGAAAGAAGGAAGGAAGGAAAGCGTTAGCTTCATTCTCTCTTTCCCTGGTTCTACCTGTTCCCACCAGTTTAGAATTACTTAAAAAATAGTAGAAAGCTTTAGGCAGACTAGACTTTTTCTTCTATTAACACCCACAGCATTATTATTGCTCACACTAAATAAGTTAATACGGGTAAAACACTTAGAAGAGTGCCCAGGACTGTATAGGACAGCCAATAAACGTTAGCTATTTTGTTACTGTTGCAAACAACTGATTGAGAAATTTAAAAATGCCATCAATAAGCTGTTTTATTATTTGACCAGCTAATACTCAACTGGGTGAATATATAGTCCTTTAAACTGACTGGATCTTTGGGCAACATGTAGCCATAACTTCAAAACCTCTCTACCATGCTTCATCCCTGTTTAAAAATTAGAAAAAAACCCCCCAAGCCCCAAGGTGTACAGTTCTCTACTTGGCCATCCTCTTCACTTGCTCCTATCAGACTACAGATTCACTTTACTTGATCTTAAGAGGAGAAGCCTAAATACAAAAGTCAAGCAGGACACACAGTATCAGCTGAGATATTCAGCTCGAGGTGCCGGGTCTACTTGTGGCTCGTGGGCCACGGCCCGCAGTGGTCAAGCTACACGGATAAGACCAGTGGCTTTTTAAGCATCTCACTTAAGCACTGACCTCCATGCACAAAGGCACAGAAAAGAAGGGATCATCTTATCTGAAGCTTCTGCGCCCAACTGGGAGGCGAAATGAAAAGCTATTTAGTGACTGTCTGGGGTGGAGGGCATGTGTGTATGCGTATGTGCATATGTGTGAGTGGAGGGAACAGCCCAGAATCCATGTTCCTGCTTTATGTCTTACCACATTTCTGGAAGGATCCTAGGTTTTTTACTGAAGAAGGAAAAGACCCAGAATAGACCAATAACTTGTCTGAAGTCACATGAGAAGTGACAAAACTGCTCCCCAGGCCCCATACTCCTTGCACTGAAGCAGTCTTAAAATAGACACTGCAGATAAAGGAGAGGTGTCCTGGCTGGAAGTGGATATGATTCACAAAGAGAGAAATATCAGATGTTAATCATATTAAAGGAGGATTTAGATGATGCTAAATGGAGCAGCTTGTTGGGTACCTCTTGGTGCCAGCCATCCCTGCTTGTGTCATTTTGGCCCTTGTGCTGTGAGCAGGGGATTAAATTCCAACCAGGTAAGGTTTAAGAACCCTAAAACTCCTAATGTGCACCGTAAGGATTTGTTCTCTCGAGAATATTACACAGCCAGAAATACAGAACTCATCGAGTGAATCTTGGGCAATTCTTTTAGGAAGCTTGACGCACGCCGCCAAACAAATATTTGCCGTTATCAGCTCTAAAGAGTTCACTAGTACACAGTTGAATTCTCTCCGGGTAAAGTTTAGAGCAACAGACTTATCAGAAAGGGGGAGAAAAAGAAATGAAAGTCTTCATAAGATTTCTTTAAAATGGCTAGCCATAATCCTATTCTCCAGCTCTAGGGGAAATTCTGCTAGAGAGTTCTGTCAGGACGGTAAACCAGTGCTGTCTTACAACAGACTTTAAACACAGAGACTTTACAATGGTGAAGCAAAACAAGAAGGATCCCCACTTTTAATGTGTTCAAACAGCCAAAGAGAAACTTGGCTCATAACACCTTTGGCAAGAAACACATATTCGTCTTGGATAACAAAGAGAAATTGGCTTGCAGTAGAACCGTTCAAACTTTCAAGGGAAAACCATGACCTCCCCATGGCTAAGTTTCCACCTTCGGAAATCTGATCACTGATCTGCGCTGCCAAAAAAAGTGGAAGAATGGCCCCCAAAGGAATGGGCAGGTCCCTTTCATTGAGAAGTATAGACCAAGATGTCCTTCTCTTCCTTTGAAGTTGCCAACTTCCTGGGTGTTTCTGGGTGCCTATCTACATGAGGAAAGCATGAGTATTAACATAAGGTCCCCTGTAGGAGCAGATGGGGGGAAAAGAACATTCCTATCCTCAAGATAACACAAGAAAAGGACTAATGTGGTCAAGCTACCCACCACCTGTCTACACTCACCACCAGGGGTTCAGCCTGCAGAACCCTGCCACATTCTCACCTCTAACTATTGTTGCCTCATCCAGCAGGGCTCAGCAAAATGCCTTTGTGAGGACTGGGAGATTCGCTAGTGTTGTCTTATACAGTCATCACGTTGCAATGAAAAATGTTTGCTGAGGCACAGCATTAGCCAGTGAAGAAACGCCTTACTCATAGCCACGCATCTTTCATTGTTCTGTAGCTATTGCTTTCTGGGAATCGTCTATACTGCTTTGTGTGTATCTAGAATATGCATGTTGTAGATATACATGTGTGTGTGTGAGGGTGTGTGTGAGGGTGTATGAACAAATCGCGGCATGCTTGTGAAGCTACACATATGCGAGATAAACATCCTAGGCTCTCCCCGCAAAAGAACAAAAACAGAAACAAAACCATAAAAATATGTTGATGGCTCTCTTACAATATGTACTTAGTAAATTCTCATACCATTTCTTCCATAAAGGAAATAAATGCTGATTAAAGTAGAAACCACGGCATCACTCCCCCATCCACCTTTCTAGACTTTTTTAGAAAGCAACTTTTGCAGCGATCATTGCACATAGCCTATGTCAGCTCAATCAACATGCCAGAACCTAAGTAGCAAAAAGGCCTGTTAGAGTGGGGACCTCTTCTCTGGAAAGGGAGTCACTGTGTGTGGGTTCCTTGCTGCAATTTTCTCTGAATTCTCCAGTTCCCTTTTCTGTGGCCCATGGGTCTTCAGGCAAGCAGCAGAGCTGGGGAATGGGAAAGGACGTAGGAGTGGGTCAGTGCCCCGTGACTCTTCCCATAGAGCGGGGGCTCCTCCTTGCGGCTCTACCTCTTACCCTATTGCGCGGGATGCTCGTGTGAGATAACAAGACTAAAACAGATTTGGGGACATTGGTAAAGAAAATAAATTTTTTTTTTAAAAAAGAAAAGGGAGAGGACCAAACAATAAAGATGAGTTCCTACCTCAAAGTCATTTGCTTTATTGTAGTGCATGTTCAGAGCCCTGTACAGCTCACAGTCTCTGGTTATAGACAGCTCTTCGGTACTGGTGACTCCATCGTTGATGGCTTGACGTGCGTACTTCTCCATCTGAATGTAGTAAAACTCACGGAAATTGCTAAACCACTTGATGAGCTGAGAGGTAATGCATCTGTTGAACTGTCAAATTTAAATGTTGGAAAGGATAAGAACATGGCCATTTTCTTCATTTATTCTTTAAGCATTTGAAGTCTTTTTAAAGTTCTTCTCTCCTCCTTACTTGGACAGAGTATGTTTTTGATTCCACCAAAATGGTGGCAAGAGGGGTAAAAGCAGTAATACATTTATAAGAGATTATAAAACCTATCAGCAATGGAAATCACTTCCCAACCCTCCACATTTCAAATGGAAAACTCACATTCTAAATCGGATTTTCCTTAAGAAGCTGAATATCTCATTCTAAACACCGTTCTTCATCTTTCAATGGAAAAAACGGCATTTGTATACTTCTTTATGGAAATGCATTCAAGCCACAGAGTGCTGGGAAGAGTTGTTACTTTCAAGTACAGTTTCCCCTGCTTTTCAAAAGTTCACGTTCCACCATTTTGCTTTTATGGAAAGACCTACATTGGTACCTGGTTTCACTAACTGAAAGAGATCCCAAGAGGATATTTGCTTTTCAGAAACAAAGCGACAAGGGAAAATAGTGTTCAGCATTTGCTTTGCAGCGAGCCATTAGGGAGGGAGCATGCTCCCCGAGCAGCAACAGTGGCCCAACCAAGCTCCTTCCCCAGGAACCAGGCTCAGCATCTCAGCATCATGCCGCCATGGCTTTGCACTGTGTTTGTGAGCATCTGTGCTTTATCTTGATTTATTTTGTGCATCTGTTATCGAGATGTGTCCTAGGGTATCAGAAAAGTCTAAGAGAGGTTATTTTTTCAGGTCTGGGAATGCTCAACACTTTTTCCATATAAATTGACGGTAATTGCTTCTTTGCTTTCTGCCATTTCGGCTTATGACAGGTTTCACGGGAACCCTTCTACTTTTGGATAGCAGGCGAAACCTGCACCAGAGAGGGTGAGCCACGCGACTTCACTACTAGCATGATTTCCTTTTTTTTTTTTTTTAATGAGAATTTGTGTCATCACATGGCGGCCTCGTGCAATGCTGGAAAACAGCTTTCACACAGAAGGGGAGGAATCTGGCATTTGCTTATTTTTTGGTAATGGGTGATCCCCATGGCCATCCAGCTGTGACTCCACTTTCTGTTTGCACACGGTACTCACATCTGTCTGGCCAGGCTGCCGTACCTCTTCGTACACTTCCTACAGCCAGCATTGGGTAAGACCCACGCCCCTTTCTGTTGGAGTCGATGCTGTTTGGAAGGTGTGGTTAAGACAGAGTACACAGACGGCCTAGACAGAAACTTTATTACATTTTTTTTTTTAAATGCCAAGTTACCGTAACATGATTAGGCTTTAAAACTTTGTTTACCAAGGTTTCCTGATGACCTTTTAAATGAAGATGTCTTCCTGGATTCACTGCAAATGATACCATTCTTATTGACAGTCCTCTGTTTGCGGTAAAGGACAGATGCATCTCAACTTGCCAAGTCAAAACCAATAAATCCATAGCTTTATATCAGGCGGGCTGACAGACAACCCCCTGCCTTTTGTCATCACAGGTATTCCCTTCCCTGGGCCCCCAGAAAAAGATGTACATTCATCAAAAATCAACAAAGACCACTTATCAAACACTGGTCATGAGAACATCCAGACTCCCAACAAGATGACAGCTAAAGTGTGTATTGGGGCTGTAATTACTACACAGAAAGTTGTTTCTATACTAGCAAAGATAATAAATGAATGAAAATTTATGGCAGAGAATGGACGGAACAAGGAAACAGAAGCAGGGAGACTGGTGTTTCTCCCAAAAGGCCAACTTGCATCATAATTGCCATGGAGTTGCAAGGGCCCTTACAGATAATTGACCAGAAAATGATTAAGTCATCAGCAAATCGCTTCTGCTTGCAAGAGTTCAAACATGTACTTAACCTATCCAAGAATTATATTTTCACTCTGTGTGTCTGCTCTGTCTCTATTCAGCCTTGCGGGGAACCCGATTAAAAAGACAACTGAAGGACCCCCGTTATCTGATCTTCTGGTTGCCGATTTCAATAGAACTTAAACCCATTACGATTTGCTGAACTTGGAGTTCTTTCCATTTTATCTCAGCAGTAAAATACACTGTCCAAATTTCCAGACACTGAGATAAGGACTACAGGCCCCCGTGACGGCTTACTGTTCCTTTTTAATTCTTTTAGAATAAGAAACAAAACATTACAAAATGATAGCAGGCTGTGCACTGGGGAATGAAAATTGCTTTGACATGGAGATTAGGCTTCTGCATTGTTACAAGACATTGTCTCCTATGGACAAGAGTACTGTAGAGGAAAAAAATAGAAGGGTATTTTTTTTTTCTAGAATGGTCATGAATGACCTAATGGGGGAGGACAAAAAAGTAAGTGCACTTGCCATTATTTAGGAATGGGACATAAAGGGAGATTTAAAGCTTATTGTTACAGAATGGAAATACCAGAGAGAAAGAATGGGCAAAAACAACAGACTCCCCCGACATAAGACAAGCGAAATGACCAGCACAACAGCTTGGAGAACTGGGTTTCCCTCCACCAGAAGTGCACTGAAATTTGTTGTTTTTAGTTGCTGGCGAAAAGCAGAGGCAGGCCCCCCCTCTTTTCCAGATATTCACACTGGGGGAGAAAAAGCGTTAAACTTTAAAGAGTTAATTTCCCCCCGTTCTGTAGTGGCTTACAAGAAAAGGATCAATTGTTCTATAAAGGAAAGCTCTGTAGTGTGTTAATGTGTTACTGCAAAAACTAATCGCTACAATAAAGAGGCTGTGTTTCCACAGTGTGTGAGTCTCTGTGACTTTGATTAATGCTTCCCACGGGACATCTCAGCCTCAATATGGGCTGAAGAAACTTCCTAAATATTCAATGAGCATGGTCAAAAGATGTATAAAACAAATCAATCTGACACCTTAATCTGGCTAGGCAGCAGTTGACTCAAGGGGTGGAGGGAATGAGATACATCATTTAACACTGCCGGCTTGAAAAGCTGTGAGCGTCTGTTCTTCAAAGCTAAAATGACACTGAATCTGTTGTAGTTAGTGGTCTAAGAGTTATTAGTTGATACATTAAAATCAGCACCCAGTAGTGCACAGGAAGATGGTGGGGCCCCATTGATCCTTGGCATGTCTTGCCCATTTGCCCCCTTGCTCTTCTCAAAGGATTTTGTCTGGCTAAATGTCGTGGTGAGGGGATGGAGTTGGACTCTGTGAGAACATGGGACTTTGTTTAGATTCTTACTCTAGGAATGAAACCAAGTCAGCCCTGGTTTCATCCTTCGTATAGATCATCGCTGGACAGCTCTCACCAAGCCAGCATCTGAATCCTGTGAGGTTTCCCCCCACCTCTTTCTTTCCAGAGTAATTTAAAAGCATTCACCTCCTGCCCAAATGGAAGTCACTTGTGGAGAGGGAAGCGCTCTATCCCTCCCTAAGGAAAAATGCAAGGCAGGGTGTATCACCTGCCTGGGCTCACCTTCTGGGGCCGATTGGATGAATGCAGCCACAGTCAAGTATAGGCTTGTGTTACTGCGACAAGTCTTACTTGGTCCACAGACACATGAACATGTCTTTCTCAAGACAGGTGATGCAGGCTGTCACTTCTTATAAACTCCTAAGGTCCTTCCCCTAATTTCTAAGGATCTCTTAATTCTGTAGTGGTTTTCTCGAATCTACACTGAAATAAAATTTGGGGTAGCATATTCATATGCAGAGAAACATCTAGTTATTTCCATCTTGCAAATGAGTATCCACATTTATATATCTATATCTAGAAATAAGTATGTGTGTGTGTATATATATATACCCACTGTATATATGTATATATGTATATATATATATACATTTGTAACATACATATAAATATACATGTGTATGAGCATATGCATCATCAGCATTCAAATTCTGGATTTTCCTTACTATTAAAAAGTCCAAGCATGCTCTGCTCTTGTTTCCTACAAAGTTTCTGGAACACCGTGCCTGGACTATCCTTCCCTTTTCTATGCATGCCTTTCCAATTTCACCAGCATAAGCTCAGGGAATACAAATTCATTTATTAGTAGCCAAAGAAAAAACATAATTAGCAAAGTTAAAAATGTATAATTCATTCCAAAAATAAAAGAGAAATGACCTTTGGTGATTTTCTGCTATGCATTATATGCCCTACTGTTTCCCCTCCATTAGAGTGGATAATTGGGAATTAACCAGACTCACGTATACTTTAACAGCCTTCTCTCCCAGTATGGATAGAGTATGGATAGAATCTATAATCTGAATATTAGTGCTTTTTTAAAATAAAATATTCGTCCCGGTATTTAATTGTTGTTTACATAGTGATTATTTGCAAAGCTGAATTACTAGATGTATTCTAAAGGGAGAGGAACAATTTCTTGTCAGTTTCCACTGCCCAGTGTTTATAAAGATTACAGATTAACAATCTCCCCTACCCGTGCCCTTCTCCCCCAGCCCACGAATGTGTCTAACATTTACAGCTACTTTTGGATGGTGTTGCGGGCTCGGCATGGCTCCTGCTTCCCACCCTCCGTGTGGCTGCATTTCAGTGGTAGGTGAGAGATCCCTATGGATGCAGTTTGTAAAGCTCTATGGCCTCCTTCTGATGAAAAGCACTATCTAAATAATATAAGGTATCGTCTTTATTATATCACAACAGTGCAGATCATTGCACTAAGAGGAGTGGAGGAAGTAAAATGGGCACCTAGATACACACACACACACACATACACACGTACACGGTAACACTTTCTCCCTCTCCTCCATGTCCTCCCTTCTTCCTGGAACTAGGGTGTTGAGAGGACCACTCCTCACCCCCAAAAGAACTCTGCCAGGTTCCATTAGGCTCCAGAAGCTATCCAGTCTTCAACCAGTTGACAAATTCCCTCCCTGGTGTCTGTTTTGGATGGTCCCCCAAGAAGTCCAAACCCTCTTCCTGGCCTACTGTGTCACTCAGCCTTTTCTATACTTTAATGATCCTCAACCAACCTCTCAAGTTACTGCCTCTCTGGGCCTTCCCATCCTGCCCAGTCTGTTGGCCCTGAGCGGGGAGAAAACATGCCTTCCACTTAAGGAGCTCAGCCAGGGAAGGAGGAAGATAAAAGGCTGAAGTTGATACACAATTCAAAAGCAAACAGGAGGGAAAACAGAACTTTTCTTATAAGGCCAAATAAAACATCAGTGAAGGAAACGAAAATGAGTTGGCCTGCAAAAGGGGGCCAACACAGCCCCTGGGCCATGGGGCACAAAACACTCTGCGTGGAGGGAGCGGGGCAGAAGCAAAGCCTGTTTTGGCAGCTCCTGAGTTCTCAGTGGCAGGAATAAGAACTTGTACATATGGGGGTGGGCAGTGGAGGGTGGGGGGAAAAGCACCCAACCCTAATAAACTAATCTCAGCTAATGTAATGTTTATCAAGTTCCTTGGATAATGATACCATGCATGTGATTATCATCATCAAAACCCAATCTATGTTTTAAAAAGTTGCAGATGATTAACACAACATCAAGTTGTTGCAAACAATTACTTAAAACCCACACACAGACATAGACGTGCACACACACATCCACACGCACACAGAACCAGGAGGTCCCCATATTCTGTAGAATGAGGGAGGCTGCAGCTGTAGGCCGACAGCTTTCATATCCTCATTTGAATAATGTGTCCTGAATCTGTCACTTTATTCATTCTCCTTATGCTCAGTGTACTCTACATCAACAACAAATTAAGTTGTAAATAAGAGACAATCATCACTTTTGTTTTTAAGCAGCTACTGCATAGAGAATTTCAATGTACGCTCCTTTCGACAGAGGGGGGAAAAAGAGGTGCTAGAGTTTGCTTTCATAAGCACAAATATGGGGAAACCAACAGAAACAAAAACAGAAACAGTTTACTGTTGCTGAGGGGAGGGAAAAAAAAAATTCTCTAAAGCACACCCATCCAGGACCGGCTGAAATTTCTTCCAAGAAGTTACTAAGACATATAAAGCCAGAGGCTAAGTTTCCCTGATCACACTGGAAACCCATGTGACTTGATACCAGTCTCCTGGTCTTAAGGGGTATCTTTGCTTGGCACGGCTTCCAACAAAAACACAAGTGCATTGCATCAGTTATAACACAGGTGTATTCACGGATTGATTTCACACTCATCTCCACCAACTTCCAAGAGTTCGAATCACGACCACATGCACAGAAACTGAAAAGCGACTGATGAAAAATGTCCTTACCTTCACATCGGAGAAGTAGGTCTTCAGCATATTTGAGCTGGGGTAACGAGTATAAAAGAACATGAGCTTTGCTTTTTTCAAGTGATTGGGTGACAATCCTTCCTGCATGTAGGAGGCATTTGGTTAAGGAAAACAATGTCTTAAACACACGCACCCACCACCCACTCCCCGAAAGAACCTGGAGGCCCATCAAGCAGCCGGGGAAATTCTAGAAGGTAAATGGCACCGGCCACGGAATCCATCACTACGTTGCTGCCCCTTGCTCAAAGTGACCATGGCTTGTCAGAAACTGCCAAGTATAATGGTGAGGATGCACAATGTGGCTGCAGATTCTGGGCGGCTCTGTGGGGAGGATGGCAAAACATTCCCCCTGTTCGAGGTCCTTATGCTACCTATACGTTCACTTGTTGCTAAGGAGACAAATGCACCCAACATGTATTGTACAACTCTTATCGTGAGAGTTTTTTTCTTCTTTGCAATTACAGTTCTGTTTGTTCTTCTCTCCACACTCTGCAGCTTACATCAAATTATTATCCTAATGTGCGTGAAAATACAAAATGCATTATTTTGAACACTGTCAGGCAAGCTTCATATTTTACCTTTTAGTGCTAAACTAATGGAGCATCTTGACTCACTTTCTTCCTATTTTATTATTATATCCTTTTAATTGTTTCCTTTTGAATAATAGCTAAAACTTGGGAGGGGTAGTTTTGGCACAGAGAGCGCAGGGAGGGGGTGTCGCTTTTGTTAAAGCAACGATCCAAAACCAAATACAATTTGCCTCTCCTGGATTTATAGTTAACTCCTTTGAGAGTGGCACAGTGGTTGGGGCTAACAAATCAATAAATGTGGGTTAGCAGATCAATAAATGGCCACTTACCCAAAATAAGAAGGCCTATTTATCTGGAAACATCATTACCTTTTAGATCTGTAAACAGCAGCAACTAAAACAGTTCCCAAGAGAATGTGAGGCTAACCATAACAATCCAGGCTTCCTGATTCTCCCCCAGATTCTTGGCACTCCTCAGCAGACTCAGAGCTGGGATGGCTCTGGTCACATCTGCGCCGCAGCCTGGCCCTGCCATTTCCTCAGCAAATTAATGGCTTTATAATTTATCAGAAATGAAGATGCACGTGGAGAAAATCAATGTGGTCCCCCACAAGGTCAATTAAGGGTCCTTCCTAGAAGCTTCTCTAAGGATTTTCTCTCAAAAGAGAGTATGGGAAAAATAAGGAAGAAAAGAAAAGAAAATCTGCACTTGTGTGTGCACGCACGCACGCACGCTTTGCTAGGCAACAAAAATGCCACACCTGGTGAAAAAAAGGTAAAAAAAAAAAATGCACGTGTTTAGGAAAAGTCAAGGTTTCTAAATGGCCTCCATCAAGAACAGCATGACCAGTCTTAGGAAGAGAGAGAAAGCAGGAAGTTAGTACAGAAGCACAATCAAATTCATACTGATAAGCTCTTGACTACTTATAGCAGGGTGTTTAACCAAATATTCTGCTGAGGATTGGCTCAATTAGCCTTCCCTTTAACATCATGCAATGTTTCAAAGATCACCTTGGTTTGTAAATGGAAAAGTTAAATCTTGTGCTTCCCCCCCACCCCGCCACGGACAATACCGACTGAAGGAAGAAATTTCGATTTTCTGTCTGTAAGCCAAAGCAGCTTAACTGAACTTGTGTTTTTGTTTCAGATCCTTAATGATCACAAAGACGATAATTTATGACTGACATACTTCTTGTGCCAAGGAAAGAGCTGAAAGGCCCTCCAGTAACCTCCATTAGACCGGTAGAAGACTAAAGGAGCCCAGCACACTTCAGGACCATCTGTCCAAATGGGTAAGTGAAATAATAGTGGCAAGCTGTCTCGTCTTGTCTTGTGATAAGAGTTTTTAGGCAAGTCCAAACTTCAGCAGACATTCTCAGATCTGGGTTCTAGTCTTTTCTTCAGACGGCCAGATGAAAAAACAACCTTGCACACTGAATTATTAGCAGGGGAAAAGTACCAAAGGGTTAAAAATGTGGTCTCCTACAAAACACCCTGTTTTGCTGTGGTTCTCCGTGATAGAGCTACCAAAACTTCCTGATGTTTTCAGGACGCTTACATTATGCTTCGATGTTTTAGCTCTTTTTATTTAAAAAAACAACAACAGCAAACTATCCCTCTTATTTTGATCAGGATTTAGAGGCTTTTTATTTCATGAAAAAAATTATTCTGATTCGAGTGTCTCAAGTCCGTTTTGCTTTAAAATGTTTCCTGTTGGTAATACTTAGAATTGATCCGTTGAAATGGAACAGAGAATAAATCTTTATCTCTTGCTCATCGTGTAATTAAGATAAAATTCCCATAAAATATATGTTTCTAATAAACTATTAAAAATAGCTAATGAAACATTTAAAAGCCAACAGTTAGATAATCCTTTTTTTTCCTCCTCAAAATAAATCTGAACTGACCAATTGGTTAATTTCCCTTTTAAGTGCTTGTGCTGAAAAGCAACTGTTCTTCCAAGAAAGCACTAGCTGTTTCCAGGATACTTACACACGCACAATGACTCATGATGGAATAGATTCAGTAAACATACAGCTGTACTGAACACGAGCTAAGCTCCATTCAAGGCCAGGAAAGAAAATGAGCACAAATAAATATTAAGGAGGTAAGGGGGGGTGGGGTGAGGGGGATGGAACGCAAACAAGATCTGTCCCGGCAGCTCATGTGGCTTTGCCTCAATTCTCTTAGCCATAGCTTTGTGAAGACAGATGACATTCAATTCTATGTGTAATGCAAAATAGACAATAACTACTGAAACTTGAGACAGCTGCCAGGTGTAAAAAAAAAGAAAAGAGAAAAAAAGAAAAGATGATAAATCCATAAATTAATGAAAGACATCTGCTCAGGAATAGAAAAGATCAGAGAAGTAGGATACTGCAGCTGAACCTGAAGGGGCGATTCAAACAACCTGAGACTCTGAGTGTCGTCTGTTTACCAAGCACAACATAACCTTACCTACACAGCAGTGGCAGGCGAGGAGCAGGGCCAGCAAAAAGGCAAATGCAAGAACAACACATTGTGAGGGCTGGAGGAAGTGAATTCTTCTTCTTTTTTTTTTTCCCAATTGAACTCCGACTTGTGGCTAGAGATTTTACCAGCTGCACTTCCAACCAAATTGGATTGGGGCTACTTATATTTTCTAAAATGCTTTGAAACCCAAAGAATTTTTAGCTGTCTCCTTATGCTCTGATTTGCTGTTTCCAAGAGGATTTCTCCCTCAAATGGGGAGAGAGGATCTAGACTGTCTCATTTAATCAAAGTGATAGAACGAGCGAGCTGTTACTCCATTAAGAAGCTGAACGCCTAAGACGTGTCACTTATGGAAATTAAAAAAAAAAAAGAATTTACTGAATAATTTTTTGGGGGGTAGGAACCCAGAGTCTCTCAGTCTTTCATATAAATGTTTTCCCCGTAGCTAATACAGCTAATAGAATGACTATGGCCCCACAAGACTTCTAAAAATGTCCATGGATTATTTCACATATTAGAAATTCATTTTTAATCCATGTTTTCCAGTTGGATTTTAGTTTCAAATTACCAAACAATTTTCCTTTCCTAAATTTGAAGTGTTTTAAACATTTTCCCCAACAGTCAAGTTGGGGACGCTGGCTGTCACAGGAAACAGGCTCAGTTTCTTCACCTGCACATCTTAACAGCTCATAAGACTACTCTGGAGCTTCAGCTGGGTGCATGCAAATGTCTGAGGCCTACACAAGGCTATTTTTCTTGAGATGCAAAGAGGATGAATGACAAGGAACATCATGAAGAAAAACAACTGGCTGGCTCTTTCTTTTGCAATTTGAATAAAACTTAATATTTGATTAAATAGATTCATTTGCAAAGTACCGAACACTTTTTTTTTTTTTAATATCCAAGACGTGAGCTCCTGGAGCAGGTGCACTGACACTGAGTTCAGGCCCACATTCACTACTTCCTTTCGATTAGAAAGGATAATGAGGTATCACGTTTATATAGATTACATATGCTTCATGTGCTGAACTTAGAATGGATTTAGCTGATAAGCTGGTGTTCTTAATAGTTCTTATCTTGGCTACTTTGTTCAAAGAGGCAGATGATGCCCTTTGAAGTGGGAAGAATCATTCCTTAAGAATTAAATTATTCATTACTATTTGAAAAGCCATGACTACAAATAAAAACATAATAATGACAATCATAGAGGTATCATTTCATCCCATTTCTACTCATGTCTATTGAATTTTTTTCTAGGAATAACTGTGCTACAGGTTCTAAGATGGCCTTATATACCTAAAACTGAAGTAGACACCACTCTCTAGGATTCCCAGAGAATTCTTTAAACGAAAAGCTTTGAGAATTTTGCCTACATGCCATTGGGTAAATCAAGGGAAGAACTCATTGCCACACAAGGATGGAGACAGGAGACCAGTGGACCCAGTCTCCCCCAAAACACTCAGATCCTCATTGGCTTCAGAATCGTGGGGATTATAGAAAGGGTTGCTTGCCTATCTTCTTCCTGAGAAAGAATCTATCAGTGGGTTAAATGGTAAAAAGTACAGCATGATCGAGGGGAAAGAAACAGAGGATAGAAGGCCAAAAGGTGGAAAATGTAACCATTAACTGCAACAAGAGGCCAAAATTATTTAGCTCCATGAAAGAAACTACTCCAGGTGTAAGCAACATTTCATATGAACACAGGTGTTTCCAAGCCATCCCTGTTCAACAGACTCTTATATTGGTAGGAGAGGGCAGTTATTCAACTGAAGAAGAAACTATATTCTCCTTAAAGCCTTTGATATGTATAGAAATAAAAGGAACTTCTTTCAATTCAAATCCTCTAAATTCCTCAGGGGATTTAGAGAGCGTGAGACAATGAATGTAGCCAACACTTAAAGCAATCTAAAAGATTTTTTTCCTAGAAGACCCAACTTAAAAAAAAAAAAAAAAAAAGGCACAGGCATAATGATCTGGTTACAATGAAAAGTCTAATAAAAAAAACCCAAAAAACCCATAAACTGGTTCAAGAGTTTAGTGGTGCACTTCTGGGACTTTGAAACCTGGTTTCAAATATTCCTCACCATAGGTATGTCCCTTTCCTCTGAGTGTGTGTGTGTTTGTGAGAAAGAGAGAGAGAAGAAGGGAGAGAAACACCCCACCGTCATGACTACTGCCTTCAAAATGAAGTAAGATAGGGTCTAGCAATAGGGTCTAGCCCTGGACCTCAGGCTTGTGTGAACCTCAGAAGATGCTCTTCCTCCCAAGGATAGAAAACCATTCCAGGCACTGCATCTTCTTGCTTGGCCTTTCTCATCAGCAACACTATATGGCAATCATTTTGACCAATGTTTATTGCCTGTTTATAATGTGCAAGGCATGGTGATTGGCGAAGTTTCAATTCGTTGCTGGTAGATTACGTTCTAGGTCTTTGAAAGGTAGAAGTTAAATCAGCAACCAAACCAAGACTCAATTTCTGTTTATATATCTAAATCTTCCTTCCTCTCATGACATTATTCTCTTCTTCCTCACTGTGGAAAGAGACTGTGTTTAAGTGCCCCAAGTGGGTCTCATACTTGTGGCCCACCTTATCAGAAATCTTCATTACTGTCCTGAGAGCTGGTTAGAAGAACAGCCTTCCCTACATAGAAAAATGCATTTCCACCATAGCTGGGACTTTGCACTTACATGGCAGCCTCTGGAGTGGGCTTAGATACTAAAATGCCAATCTCTAGTCATCAGGACAATTGCTCAAAATCCTCAATTTAGCAACAGCCAACTTAATTGCTAAATTTTATGTCCATCTGGCAATTGATTCTAAAAGAAACACGCCTCTACCTGCCCCCCAATGCTACTATTCGACTACCCCAAAACACCAACAATCACAAGATTTTTTAAAAATTGACTGAAAGGACCAAACTACAGAGGAAAAAAAAAAGTCAGTGAAAAATAGCTGGAGTTCAGGATAGGTCTAATAAAAAATATAACTGGCAACTCCACTTAAAAGTCAGGTTCAAAATATAAAAGAGTCATAAAAGGAGCCATTTTTAAGTCGAATACAGCTGAGTTTTATATTTAATTGTGCTCTCTCGCTTTCCAAAATAATTTGCTTTGTGTATGTTAGGACAAAAGATTTCTGTGTATGGCTGAACAGAGGTTAATCATGCATAGAGGCAGCTGCACCAGACCCAAGGAACAGACCTTGGGTGAACGAGAGAGAGAGAGAGAGAGAGAGAGAGAGAGAGACCAATACCGTCTGAATACATCAGTACCTGTATATTTCCTTAAAGAAACACCACCAAGGACAAACCACGTCTCACTTAAAGATCAAAGAGAGAATCTGACTCCCCCGCCCTGCCCCCATGTCCATTTTTCTCCCCCTGAAGCCTCCCACCAGTCAAGTGCTCTTCCTAAGATTTAATCAGGTCTTCTTAACGCGGCCCAGGAGCCTTGCAGATGGTTTAAAGGGAGAATTCTTCTTATGGAATCTTAGGGAATCTCAAAACTGACTTTTCTCCTGACTCCATTATAAAACTTAACACCTTAAAAACAATCTGATCGAATTCATTATTGCAATGAGATTTTTTTTGGGGGGGGGGTCCATCTCTGACTCTACTCCTAAAAGAAAAAAGAGAGAGAGAGAATACAGGAAGAATAGCAGAAAAAGCACTGCTGGAAAAGCACATATTAAATACCAGCTCTCTGAGGCAATTAACAACTTGTGAAAGTTGCAAAGGTGTGGGTTTCCTGTGAAGCTTTTGTGCAATCAGGAGCGCAGCACGTGTGCTGATAAAAGCCTATTACTCTGAATAATGGGAAAGATTGCATTCCTAAGAAGATACTAATCTACGTCCTTCTATATATTGTGGAAACCTGACCTTTGGGGAAGCCTTTTTTGTTTTGTTTTGTTTTGTTTTCCTCGAGGGGAAAAGAAAAGGATATTGCACTTCCCGAGTAAGGTGAGATTTCGGACATGTCTTGAAGATCGCCACACTCGGACTTGATGAGCGACAGGGAGAGCCCTTCTGCGGTGCTGGGTGGGTGTGCTGGTGAACAAGGATGGTGGCTCAGGTGGTGGGATGACATCTTGGTCCTCAGACTCGTGGTCTCCCTAGTTAAGTCTAAGGATTCAGGAGAGGCTCTGTCTTTTCCCGAGAAGGAGCCGGAGGGAGCACCTAAGGGACTCTGAAATGGGTAGGCCATCAGGGGAAGGGGAAAGGGATGGCGGAAGGTGGACGTGGTGAAGCCCGCGGTGGCGGAGAGAGGCGACTGGTGCAGGGGCTGGTGGTGGCCGCCGGCGGGGGGGCCGGAGGCGGCCTGGTCGGAGGAGTTTTTGCGGACCACCAGGGGCAATGCTTCTGTCTGGTCTGTGGAACTGGGCATCTGCACGTTGCCAAAGGTGTCCAGGGGGTTCGGAATGATGACGTCGCCAAAGCACTGCAGGCGCTGGTTGGCGGTGTGGAAATTGTGGTTCTCCCCGTTGACGGCGAATCTGGCCTGGGGGATCTGGAGAGGCGGGAAGACCTGAGGAACCTGGCGGGAGGGTTTGGCCGAAAAGACTTTGACCACAGTGTCCACAACTTGCGACATGGCCGTGTTCAGTTCCTGCTTCAGGGTCTCGGCCAAATGTTTGCCTTCTGGTTGTAAGGAGTTCGGCCCGTGATCTCTTTCTTTGTTGCTGCCTTCTCGTTTGGGCTTGTTTTCCACCAGCTCCTGCTCCCTGATCAGGGCTCGGGCTCGGTCAATGAACTGTCCCGGGTCTAGCTCGCACATCTCGTTATCTGACCGCCCCACGGAGTCCTGGGCCCTGGCGTCCAGGATCTCCGAGCGCATGCTGTCTTCAGACAGGTTCCCATCTTCATCATTTTCGGAATCGGTGCTGTCGTAGATTTGGTAGAACTTCTCCTGCAGCTGGCGCAGCTGTTTCTGCATGTCCTCCAGCTGCTGCTTCAGCTGTCGGCGCTCCTCTCGCTTCTGTTCTTTGCGGGCGGAAACCAGCTGCTGGAAACTCTGTTGCTGCTGCTGGGGCAGCTTCTGCTTGCGTTTGTTTTCCCTGTAACTTTCTCGGGGACTCACAGACTGCGGGGCCATCTCTCTTTCATTTTCATTGCCCCTTAACGCCACACTGGGGGAATGGCTCATACCCCGAATGATATTCTCAACCCGGGCGCGCTTCGCTCTCAGGTGCTCATCACATAAGCGATCCATATCAAACTGGCTCATAGTAGGCCTGCCAAAAGGGGAAAGACACTCTGGGGGGCTGTCTCTTGAAGAGTTGCTGCATGTATCCTCCTGATGTACTTCGGAGCCTGCACTAGAGAGACCGCTGGCTTGGAAACTGGGCTCCGTGCCACCATTTTTGTTCATGTTATTTTTCAACAGCTGGGAAATTATGGTTGCTCCTGGAAAAGGCATCATGGCATCTTCGTACGAGTTCGCCCTCTTCAGCAGCTTGCGGAGTACGTTTGACTTTTCCCCATCTGCGTGCTGCACCACTGAATACTCAACATCCTGCTCAGAACCTTGGGGATTCATGGCACTAAAAAACGTTGCTCTCGCCTTAGCGAAAAATGCAGATGCTGTCCCTACCGTCCTTTTCACTCCAATGTCAACTCTTCTCCTCTTGGTTTGCCGGCTTAAGAGGGCTGTGCTGTCATGGTCAGGCATCACTGGACAGTTATTGTGCCATCTTCAAAAGCTCGTCAGCTGGGCACAGCTCAAGAATCCCGGGACCCTGGCCAACAGAACAAAAGGACTGATGAATCATTTTCTTTAAATTTCTCCAAATTTCCTGACCTCAATCCTGAATCAAATGCAAAATGCATAGGCTCTGGGATTTATGGCACATTACAATTATTGCAATTTATTATGCACTCTGCTTGAAATGAAACATTTTTAAATATTTCTGCTCCACTGGTTTAAGATGGATTAAGATTAAAAAAAAAAAAAAGCAAAAACTGCTTAAGCACCAGTAATATGATTCTCTTTCACAAATGCCTAAAATGATACTGTTTATCTTCAGAAGAAACAGTAGATTATAAGAACACAGCCTCTGAACCAATTGATTAAATTTGGGGCATCGAGATTCATATTACAAAAGAAGATGAAAGTGGCCTATACTTAAGAAATAAGGTTCAATTTTGAGGCTGTGTGAAATTTGGACAAAAAATTCCATTTCTGAATTAAAATTATTGTGGTTTTAATGCTATTAAAGGAAAAAGACTTGAAAATAAATGCAAATACTTAACACGCCCCCTTTATTACTGAATTTTAAAATATTTTTGTCGTATGTGAAATGGGAAGGAGAACACTCCCATCAGCATCTTTCCAATATAAATGGTCAATTTAACATTGAAATAAATGCACAAATACTCATTTTACAAGTCTGCTTATTTAGCATAGATATGCATTTTTATTAGTAAAATCACATTCGAAAATGGTATCTGTTGCTATATTTTAACACAAGTGTGAGAATATTGATACATTTTCATGATGTCCTTTTGATCACTTAAATTATTGCAAAGTTGGACCCGCTGCAAAAGAAGGAATTGTCACATTTTAGAAATCAATATATGGAACAATAAATTGAGTTAGGCAAGGGTAAATACATCTTCAGTATCAGTTTTCTTCTGTTCCAATCTGCCAAAATAATACTTCAAATGCCTAAGGAAACTTTAACATACACCATTTGTGAATCGTATTTCTTATGCCAAATTAAAGAAAAAAAGATAAATAAAGGAGAAAACGGCATCAAGCAAAATATACGAGGAAAGAGAAACATCTTCTCTGCATATGAACTTCCCTTGTTTCTTGAGGACACAATATAAAAAGAGAATATCCTTCCTTGCATTTTATAAAAGGCACTTGACATATTTTGTGACTTACTACCTACTGAGGCTAACCCCAAATTTTGTGTAAATATAAGATGTCGTATCTTTTTGCTTGCAATTAACATTTTATGAAGAAAATGAAAATATTTTATTCACACAGGGTTTATCTAATATTAAACTTCACGTTTGCTTAACAGAGCACATCTTCACAATAACAGGGTCTATTGCCAAAGGCAGCGTGCAGAGTGTTTGGAACAGCTCCCATCTCTTTCGGTTCACCTGTAAAAACATCTACGTGCTCCCTAGGACTGCATCTGTGGCTAGTTTTAAAGAATGACTATCCATGCAAATAGGCATAATTTCAGCATGAAATAACCTGTAAAAATCAAGAAAATGCTCAATGCTTAGATGACAATGTGTGGGTTTTTAATTTTTTTTTTTTTAAGCAACAAAGATTTCATCCTGCACTCCTTGTTCCTGGTCTCTATATGAAGACACAACATTTTTTTTAAAAGCCTGTTTTAGAGTATCATGCAAGCAATATGATGCTTCTTTATATTTTTCGTATGCTTAAAAATAAAATACTTTTTGTATGCCCCAGGATAAAATTTCCTGAAGTCAGAATGGAAACAGATCTTAAGAACTTCAATACCGGTTCAAAATCGGTTTCGGAATGATTTTGAACCCTCACACATCAATAATAAAACTGCGTTCAGGAATACAAAAATGCAATGACAAATATTTCACTGGCACATTAGATCTGATAAATCGGGTGTAGCAATCAGGTGAGAAAAAGAAAAAGACCGAGACAAACAAGAAAAGGGATGAATTATTTCAAAGCCCAGAAAGACTTGCACATTGGGGGTAGGTCTTTGCAAGGAGGACTTTTTTGTGTGTCTATCAGCTTTCCAAAAATAAAGTCCATTGCCATTATTTAAAAATTTTACCTCTTTTCTTTTTGTGTGCAAATCCTTTTCCCTTTAATATTACCTGAAAAGCACATGAGTCTCCAATCAAAATGTTGAACAAACTTTCTGCAGTCTTTTTCTTCCTCTGTTCATCTTAACACCCAATCTGGATTTTCCTCCTACCCATCCTTGCTGGGGGAAGAGCATCTCTGCAGCAGAGGCTCAGAAATGACAGGCTGGTGTAAGAGATGAGCACAAGGTCATCCCCAGGCATCCTTCCTTTCCCAACTGCCATTTACCTCTGCATCAACTGCATTTCCTCTCAGCTAGCCTAGGTATCAACAGCTGCATCCCTGCCTCATGCCCAAGCCAAGAAGAGGGCTGTGCTCTTCCTAGGTGGAAAAACATGATACTCTCATCTTCAGTGGACAGTAAGTGTTAATTAAACATGCTTGCTGGGTCTTTCAAGAACAAAATATCCTGTAACTTCCTTCAAATTCACCACACTAAACTGATTTTTGCAATCCGCTCTTAACCAGCCATCATTTTTATATTAGATAATGATTTGCTTTCTGTTTTGGGCTAAAAGAATTTAAATACTTTCAGGTCTTGTAAAATGTCCAGCTGAGACATAACAAATAGGACAGCACAAATAGGAAAAATTATATATTCCACTAAGACAAGGCATTATAGTAATAGGCACAAATAAATACATCTCTCTATATAGCTAAGACCTAAAACTTAGAACTAAAGGTATAGCAGTAGTAGACACTGGGACCATAACCCATGAAGGCAAGAGAGGAGATTAAGTAATTCTAACTGGTGGACATAATACTTCATCAGCATCTTGATTCATAAACAAGATCTACATGTGAACATACTTACCACATAAGAAAATGCATTGTTAAATGACTCTAATAGAAATTAAATCACTTAAAAACACTTTTAAAGGTGCTTCCATGGATTTCCCAATTCAGAATTTAGAGAATGCTATGCACTGACTTTATCACTGATATCATCCTGTCCATTAAGATTTTTAGAAATTCCTTTATTTCTCAACATCTGTACTAAGCCACAATGTTTCAACTACAACTTTATTGACTCTTATTATATTTTAATCTTAACATTAATTTTGAGTTTAACCAGGCAATATGAAACCTTTTGATCAGCACTTGTGAACATGAATATCAGCAAGTCTGCAGAAAAAGAGTACTGATAGAGAATTTGAACCCAAATGGATTATTGTTTGGATACACATGTTCTATTCCTGTAAACTCCTCTTTAATTGGTATGAAAACCCATATAGAATATTTTTATTGTTAAATATTTTGCCATACATTTGGTATCTTACTACACAAATGCTTTAATAATTCCTATACACTGAATATCTTGACATAGCAGATTCTTCCCAGAAAAAGATAAGAACACACATCCAGGTATAACCAAGTCAGATTTTAACAACTTCAAAAGATTCATTAAAATCTGAATTATCTGAAGAATGTCAAATAATAGAACATGGAGAATCCTAAGGAACCTGGTGGCTTCATGTTAGAAAAGAATTTCCAGTGAAGAATTTCAAAGGAACACTGCAGTGTGTGGAGTAGAAAGTGGTTAAGTGCTCTACTTTAATAAAGAAGTTATTTGGGGGAGGGGAGCACAACTTTTACCGTATCTATCTGGAGTGCAGATTCTGGACAAAGAAGTGTTCATTATGGTAATTATCCAAATAGTTCAGACAAATCTTTTATGAGACAGGGGGAGTGTAAGGTTGGCATGGTTTCCTGTTTGGATTACTTAGATTATCTGTCTTTGTTGGTAAAATTATTTGAAGAAATTGCTCAAGCCTACACTTTACTTCTTACAGAAAACAACCTCTGAATGGGCCACTAATCTACTTGGGTCAACCTGGTTATGAAATTTCAAGTGGAATATCACTAACAAAGAACATTTTAAATCCATCTGAAAATCAGTAATTTAGGAGGGAAAAAAATCAGATGATTTGATTGAGGTATTCTCCCCCTCAACCCCACCAAATCACTAAGCTGCCCTCTTCACTGTATTCAAGAGTTCATTTCTGCTAATTAGCAACTTTTCCTTCAGAGATGTTTCTGCTTATTGTAAGGTTAAGAACGCATTTTATGTTTAGTGTGAAGAACCCACTTGACACAAGTTAATACTTCAGTTAACTAAGATTGTATTGTCAAATCTTACATCAGGCTTCAAAATTTCCTGTCCTATATTAGAGTTCCTATAATATTCCTAATATAATAATCTTATTATAATATTCCTATTCCTATAGTAGAGTTCTCAAATCACAATCATTTCACTGAAAATCCCTCCATCCTATCAAAAATTCCATACATTTTTCACCTGCAAAATGAGCACAGAATATTTTCTGAGACATGCCAAAAATATTCATTTGCACTTATTTAAAAAGCAATAATTCACCAAATTAGTAAATAAATGATCTCAAGAAAAAACAATTACGCTTTTTGTCTTTTTGTAGAACACTGAAATACTCTAAATGTCCTTTGAAACTTTATAGAGTACACTAGGCAACAAGGTTGGAGAAATTCCTTACGTATATGTCCTTTCCGGCTTATACGTGTACTTAATTAGAATCCAACAATAATAACATGTCACGCACAATCCATCTTCATATTATAAAACCAGTAACATTTTATAATTTCTTCGTTAATCCTAAACCTAAAAATTCCTTATATTACCAGATGAAAATGCAAGACAATCCCTGAAATGATATAAGAAATTCATTGAAAAAAAGGCCTATTTGCACTTTGAACAAATAAAGAGCAACCCTGGCAGCTAGCTTAGGTTTTAAGATTGCAAGTGCTACTTATAGAGGAACCACGCTAGGAAATGAATAAAGTGAGAACAAAGATGCATGTTATGTATGCATGACTTTTGTCCCCACAAGGTGGTGATTAACTAAACAGAATTCTGCATAATGGACACATAAGAATATCAGTAAGTTCCAAGCGCAGATAACCCCTATTAAAAATAAAGCAAATGGACATATCCATAGATGACATGAAAGAACTTCCAAAGCATCCAAGGAAAGTATTGGGGGAGGGACTTTGATGTGTTAAGACTAAAGAGTAAATACACATACTTTCTCATTTTCATGAAACAATGATCATCACCCAAACAGCAAAACCAACCAACAAAACCATTCCCCATCTATCCTATTTCTATGTAACACAAGAAGTAGCCTGCTTAAAGAAAAACTTAAAGGGTCAAGTTTGAATAATCCAGCTATAATGCTTACACTGAATTCTCAGTATCTTCCCTCTACATCAAGCCACAGTCCTTACCTTCCCCTATTTTACCATTATATAGACAAGTCCATGTTGTAGCATATGGACAGGTTAACCCCAATGCTCCTCTTTTCCATCCTCACCACACACAGCCCATTTTATTCTGAAAATGCTCTGAAGTTCTTGCAAGAAACTCTTCACAGAGCCGACTGCCCGAATCTTGCTTCAAATAGAAAAGCGCAGTTACCTCTCACGTACTTGAGATTTTCCTTCTCCATCAAAGTAATAACTAGGACATCTGGCACATGTCTGGTACAATGACAGGCTCATTCTACTTTATGAGAGTACTTAACATATGACTTGAAAGAGTTTATGCACATACCTATTCTTTCTGGGCAGGGAGAAAGCACGCTAGAAAGATAAGCTTTAACAACAGTAACACTTTCAAATGACTTTGGTATTCCTGGTGGTTACAAATACCACCCATGGCTGCCCAAAACACACACGCACACAAAAGACAGCTCTCACCCACCCCCCTTCGGGGCACCACAGACCTGGGAGATAGGCATAAACTAGAAAGGGAAGCAAAGGGAAAGTCAATCTCCCTCCACCTGCTGCCTGAAGTGGGGGTACTTTCAGCCTCCTGGCAGACAGAAGTCTGAGACACAGCCTCAGCAGCAGCCTGCCAACATCCTTAAGAAAAATAAACAAACACAGACCAACTCGCCCCCCACCCCCCCAAGCAAAGAACTCACATGGCAGGGCTCAAAACATAACAACAGCCCAGGTCCCATTAGCTCGGACAATCCTATTAACCAGGGCACCCATAAATTCATAAACCTCTGCAAGCCTGGAGCACGCATTGTGGTCTGGAACTGTACAGACACACACAGACACAGAGGAAATTTGCACCTGTCTTTCTTGACACAACACACCTGTCAGGCCCTGCCCATGCACAGCACTCTACTAATAGATCTCTGCCTACCTAGTTGAGGAAAGGAAATTATTTTTTTGTAAGGGAGGTTATAGGTGGGAGGGAAGGAGGGTGGGAGGGAGGGGGAGGGGGAAGGGGGGCAGAGGGAGAGAGAGAGAGGGAGGGAGAGAGAACAAGACACTTATAGCCTTGACTTTGAGAGAAGGCCACCCTGTGCTTGCACTGTTTTTATAAGCTCAAGGAGACAACACAGACCTTCTTGGAAAAATAAAAACAAGCAGGTGAGTTCCCAGCCTTCCCCCAGGCGGAGTAGGGTTCTGGATTGCCAAGAACAGCAGTTTCACACTCCAACCTGCCTCCTTGGGCTATTTAAGACTATCACCCAACCCCTCCTCCTCCTCCTCCTCTTTCTCTGCCAGCCTGGAGGGCTCTCAACTTCCCGAAAAAAGCTGAGAAGTGGCGGGAGACGTGTGAGTCTCTCTCGAAAGCTACTCCCCCTTTACCTCCCTCCCGCCATTCCACGCCCCCCCCCCCAACTCCAATCCACACTTTCCACCAACGTTCAGTTTTAGCAGGGTAAGTGGCTAGCCCGCCAGAAGAACCAACAACTTGCTAAACTGGACTTCGGGTGATGTCTCCCCGCCAACGCCCCCCTCCTCGCCCCCTCCTAGTCTGTTCGGCCAAGATAGCAGCTCTTCCCGCCCTCCTCACCATTCTTCCCAGTGACAATTACCCTCACCTCTGTTCTCGTCCCTCCCCAGTCCTCCGAACTGGGGCAGAACTGCAGGTACCACCCAGGCAAGAGCAGATCCGAGCAGCCCCGACAGCGCAGGACTGCCAGCGAGGACCGTGAGAGTCTTCGCCTCGCAGATCCGCAGCCCAAGAACATCCCCTACCGCCACCCCGCCGCGCGACCACTCGGTCCCCCTGCGGCGCTCGGGCCCCATCCCTCCACCACCCACCTCCTGAGGCTCCCGCCGCCTCCTTACCCAACTCAACTTGACCTAGCCCTGGGTCCTCGGAGCTCGGGAGAGGGGCGCCGCGCTGGTTTCCCGGGACCATCTCTCCACCGCTTCAACCCCGATTTCAACATTTCGCCGTCGACAGCGTTTTGCGAGGAAAGTAACAGAGCGCCCTCCTCCTCCCTCTGCCCTCCTCCCTACTCCCCAGCCCTCTGCCCGGGTTAAAAAGGAGAAGTGAAAGGTATGCAAATGACAAGCAAATTGGAAGAGCCTGGAAGAAAGGCAGCTATAATAAACAAGACAAAGAGAAAGGACGAGGGGACTAGCACAGGAGTTTTAACCGGGGAAGACGGGAAGGATGAGGCTTGGCGGAAAGAGGGGATCCAGGCGAACAAAAAAGCGACCCGGTCCCCCTCGCGGTCCTCTCTCCCGAGAAGAGAGGGTAGGAGAAAGAAGGAAAGGAAGCAAACGCCTCCTCACAGCCCAGAAACAGTACACAAAAGGTGACAAGATCAGCGACAAGTCCAGCAGTATCAGCACCGCCCCCCCCCCATCGCCACCACCACCCCAGCCACCAGCAGGAAAGAGAAAGAAATAAAAACCAAACGGATCACTTACTCTTAGGAACTGGGAGGAGCGGAGCGCTGAGTTCCACGGAGGCTCCTGCTTAGAAACTGTTTAGAGGCTATTTTATTATGATTCATTTAAATAACACCATTTTCTCCTGGAAAAAAAAAAAATGTTTACACGGGTATGAGTAATGGGAGTCTCGTCTCTTTTCTTCTCATTCAAGAACAAGCCAGGACAAGTGATTCTGGAAAAGGGGAGGGGACTGGCGAGGGGGCGAGGATACTTACGCGGGTGCAGAGGGCAGTGGGACCGAGCGTGGTTTTGCCGGCAGGGAGAGGAGAACACGCGCGCGCACCCACGCGGCGGTGGCTTGCGGGTGATGAATGTGATAATTGGACCGGGGCCGGTGAGTGTGCGCGAGCGAGCGAGCGAGCGAGCGGGGCGAGCGGGCGAGGGAGAGGGGACAGAGGGAAGGGTGGGAGGGGAGAGGAGAGGAGAGGAGAGGAGAGGAAAGGAGAGGAGAGGAGAGGAGAGGAGAGGAGAGGAGAGGGAAGAAGAGGAGGCAGAGGAGAGCAAGGAGGAGCGGAGAGAAGAGAGGAGAGAAAGGAGCCAAGAAGAGAGGAGCGGCGGAGAGGAGCCGAGCGGAGAGGGAGCGGGCGGCCCGGCGAGAGCTCTTTTGCGCCGCTGCGCTTCCCCGGCTGCAATGGTGTATTATTTCAGAGCGCTCCCTCAGCTGAGGGCTCCGCTCCACAACAAGATTTACTTTAAGACACAGCTGAAGGAAACAGGAAGACTGCACGTCACAGTCTGACTGACGTACCCGGCCCCAGCACCCAATCGCGAGGCGCCTTCGGATTCAAGGGGGGATAGCGAGGCAAGAGAACTTGGGAGAAAAAAAAATATAAAAGGGGTGGGGGTGAGGGGCTGGGAAGAGAGGAGGGGAGAGGGGCCCCGCGCTCCCCCTCCCCCGCCTCCATCCCCGGCCCCCACCCCCGCCCCCGCCCTGCCACCGCTTCGGGGCGACGGGATCGCCGCGCCGGGGCCGGAGCGAGCCATCTGCGGGCACTGTGCAAAGCGGGCGACGGCGCGAGCGGCGCTCGGCTCACACTAGCTCGTCCAGGACGCAGGTCCTTCCCCCCCCCTTCCTTTCCCAGATACAGCTGATCCAGTTCCCCGAGTGGACGAGCGTGGAGCGGACTTGGGTGGAGGAAGGCACGGAAAAGTATACTGGAGAAAAAGTGGGGTTCTAGGGGGTGGGGTGGTATAGGAGGAGGGAGGGGGTAGCTCAAATCGTTCCACCTTTTAAATGATCATAGATAGTATCAAGAATACATGTCACCCTTGCTTCCTTTTAGAGCGGAGGTGGGCAATAAAATACAGGTAGGTTTGGGATTAAAATAATGGGTGCCAGAGGTTTCACTTAGGCTCCGCTGCATCTGGTAGCAGACCAGTATTGGCGGAGTTCCAGTTAATCTTCCGCCAAAATTATTAGGAAGAAGAGTATTTGCCCTTGGTTATTTGGATTGTAGGTAGAGCAGCCTTTGGGGGGGGGGATGGGGAAATGTTACAAACGTTACCTCGCAATTACCCCTCACTAACTCACCCACCCCAGAATGACCAGAGAGAGGTTTCATATAGGAGTACACAATTTTGACGCCTGGGTAACAAACTTTAAAGTTTATTAGGCAAGAAATTTCAAACGCTTAAATTTCGGGTTTCAACATAAAGCTATAGAAGATTCACTTTGGTTTGCCATTTCTTGGATGAAAAATAACCAGCAAGATTTCTTTAGCTAATGTGGCTCTTAAAGAGCTCCTTGGGGGTTTGCAAGTTACAAATGCTAAAGGGCATTTCTAGCCGCAGCCAGAACGTGTCTTTCACGGGGCACGGTAAACGGCTTTTAATAAAGCAACCGCGTTTATGACCTAAAGATCCTATAAAAGCCAAGACTTACAAGGGCTGCGAGGCAGAAACATTCATACCTAGTCGATTAGACACTCAGTTTTTAGGTAGGATGGGGACAAGTATTTTTGTATGCTCCTTGAATTCAGGCAGATCAAAGGTTGAATGACATTGGTTGGGACAACAGAATGTTTATGAGGTGTGTTACAAGTACATTGGCCAACAACTACCACCATCTTCTGCAACACACACACACACAAACACACACAACATACACCTTTCCCTAGGACATTTACAATTTCAGCCTCAAATTCATCAAACTGTTAAGAAGTCTTTTCTTTGAATAAGAATAGAGATGATAACATCCCTGTAGGAAACTTTTGGCACGGGATTCAAACACTGAAAAGAAGAAGAAAAAATCAAGCTGGCCAGGGTGGGTGTCAGGGATAAGAAAAGAGACTTGCTTGAGCATCCCCAGCCTTCATTCCTCCCTTTCCGCTGCCCCCAGACACTCCCTCCACACCGTTACAGAAACCACACAGAGCACACAAACACACCGCTCACACTTCCAATGATAGGCTATTGTATCAAGTGTTATAATCGGGATGTAACAATTTAGGCTGGGAACAGAAATAATCTATCAACATGACCATTAGATGCAGGATGGAATAATGCTTCTATTGGTTGAGTCCTTTCGAGGTAAGCGGGTGTATGGAGCGCGGAAATGTGGGTTCTGTGAATGGATCAAGGCTACTTCCTTTCTTCTTTTCCGTCCTATTATTTTCTTTAAGTATCCCAGTTTGTACATATGTTAGCGCCAGCCCACAAATAAACTGGTGGGAGTAAAGGATATATGCCCTCCACACCTTAAAACCATCTGCTCAGTTTGACATTTAAAAGGAAGGAGGGCAGGGAAGGAGGAGGGGGAGAAAGGGGAAGAAAGGGAGCCGAGAGAGAAAAGATTCAGAATCTGGAAGGAAATGGCTTGAACTTTAGCCCACAAGTTATGTCAATTGCACCTAGCGCTCGGATGCACGTTTTGCACACTACGCCCGGGAACTGGCCGCAGGAAAAGTTCCCTGCGAACCCCAGTAAGCCCTCTGTCACTCCCGGGGGAAGGCAGGCCTGAATGGAAGTCGGGGTAACCCGCTTGGCAGACAAGGAAGCTCCCCCACCCCCCCGCCAACGCAGCGGAGGCTCGCGGCTCGCCACGCTCTGCCGCGGCAGTTCGCAGCCCGCATTAGGGCGCAAGAGCGGCTGGTTGAAATAGGAGCGCGCGCGACGCTGGGCAAGCGAGCTCGGTCCGTAGCCCAGCTCCGTGAGCTACGTACGCGGAGCCCTGTCCTGTCCCTTACTGTCGGGGCGACGTAGAGGCCGGGCTCCTGGCAACCTCTCTTGCCCAAGCTGCGGCGCTCTCCCAGGTCTTGGGCCGTCCTAGAGCAAGGCGTGAGGCCCGAGCCCCCTATCTCCGGCGACTCCCGGTTTGTTTTCTGATAGGGGAGAAGCGATCAGTCAGGTCGGAGCCGAGAAGTCGCCTAGATACTGGCTCCATCTCTGAAACCAGCGGCCAAGCCTAGGGTCAACCCTTTCCTCCGCCCATTGGCAACACAACCCCAATAACTTAAAAGTTAACACAAGTTCTGACCGGTCTTCCAACAAACCTCATCCATGCAGACTGCATTTACTTATTTATGGGAAGGGGGATCTGCTGTGAGTTCTTAGTCAAACTCTTTGCAGTTATCACTTATGCATCTGGTTCTGGGTTAAACACACTTTGCCTTGACATTTCCTCGGTGTATTTCGGCCCTCCTCTACCGTTCTTTCTTAAAGCCCTTAGATGAAGGTAGGAGGGAAGATTACATATAAGAAATTTAAAACCTTACAAAGAACCATCGTCAGATCCTAAACAAACCGATTCTGGGAATTTTAACCAGATCCAGCAGAGAGGCCAACGTGGGCGTGGATTTCGGGAGAAAGATACTGAAGATCCCTGCCTGGACACACAAACACTCACAAAACCATCCACTCTCCACCACCACCTCCACCCTGAAGAGAGGAAGAGAAAGAGAGAAAAACCAACTCCAGGGTGCAGGCCGGCCTGCTTCCGGCTGTCTAGAGGCAGACTGACCGCCATTCTCTCTCATCCCCCACCCCCCTATCCCCTGTGCCCAGTGTGACGCCAGGCCCAACCTGGGTCTGTTCTGAATGGGGGGAAAAGTGAAATGCCACAAGATCAGTAGCAAGGAGCAGCTGCGGCGTTTCTCTCCTGGGAACGCCACTGCTTCGAAGCCTCCCGAGTGATGTTTGTTTAACCAACAGCTTTCAAAGTAAACAGAGGCCAAGCGCTCCAAAGAAGTTGAAATATAACCCTTACAAGAATTTGGGCCCCGAGTGCCGGCGGAAAAAGTAATTTTTTTTTTTTTTAAGTAATAAAGCTTCCATCCCAAATAAGGGTCCACCGCAATGCCTAAAGGAAACTAGAACTGTCATAAAAATACAAATTCATCGAAAGGATTCATTACAATAAAGTGACCTCCAAGAAAATCACCCTTCGTCCACAAAAACACACCTGTGGGGTTGGTTGTCAGCGAGGGAAGGGGCACACTACTAACTTGATTTTAGGGAAGTGGGCGAAAACAATCGAAGGGAGGTACATTCCCTGCCCCGAGTAGAAAAGAGTAGGCTGGGAGCTCTGCGCAGCCAACCCTGGCTTTGCCTCAGGCACCGAACTTTCCAATATCAAGATATTAACAGATGGTGGTGAGCACATGGAGGGCTGTTACTTACATAATCCAGCCACTCCGCCCGGCCGCGCTGAGGCCGGCAAGGCGTCCGCCAGGCCGCGCGCGCGCCCCCCGAGGGGTGCTGTTGCCCCCCCGCCCCGAAATAACGTGCCTTTCTCCAACCCCGCCCGGCTCTTCGGGGGCTAGGATTTGGAGAGGTCGTGCTTTCAGAAAAATCTTCGCATCGATCGGATTGTGCTTTACCTTCTTCAGTCCACAGCAGTAAAGAAGCTGGAGACCCATGGGCAGAGGGAAGCGGAGGGAACGCTTTCGGGGAGAACCCGACGCTCTCCCTCGGGATCTGGGGGGGTACCAGGGAGTGGAATGTTCGCAATTTACATCCCTCCTTCTTTGGCTCAGATTAGCAGGTCTTTCCCAGTTCCTGAAATACAAAGGCAGGCTCGGGGCCGCAGCAGAGGGGGAGCGGGGTGGGGTGAGGGTGTGAGTGCGAGGGGACGCCTCTGCACGCGGGGGCGCAGTGGGCAAAGTTACGCAAAGCCTCGGGGCACCGTTACACTCCCGAGCTTCTGCAGGGTTTCAAGCACTGCTTCTCGCACGCGGGGAGTCCCTTTAGGCTGGGCGGCCGCCTGCTGCCTTCGCGGCCCCAGCCACCTCCCCCGCGGCCCGGTCCCTCCCGGTGTGCCTTGTGTACCTCCGCCCGCGTGTCGGGGGACGCGTGTGTTTGCCGAGCCTCTCCCCGAGGGCGACTCCGGCCGCCGAAACCCGTGAGGAATACGCCTGCGTGGGTTGCAAAAGTTTCGGGTTGGGAGGGAAGGCTGGCAGTCGCCTCTCCTGGCACCCGGCGGGAGCGGGGCTGCCTGGCCGGCGGCTTCCTCCCGGTCTCCTCCTCCCTCCCGGCCCTTCCTTTCTCGCCGCAGCCCCGCGATAGGTGTCGCGGCCTCTCGGCCCGGAGCCCGCGAGCGCGAGATGCTGCGGCGGGGTCCGGCGCTCCGAGCACAGGGCACGCCCCTCCAGCCCGCGCGGGCCCCCGGGGGGTCCCGGTCCCCCCGCCGGGGCCCCGCGGCCCTCGCCTCCTCCGGGGCCGCCGCCGGGGCCGGAGCCCTGCTCGGCTGGCTCGCGCTGGGCGCACGCCGGGCGCAGAGGGCAGCCACCTGCTCCCCACGCTGCGCGGGCCAGGGGCCATCCGAGCCGCCCGGCCCGAGCGGCCCCGCGGCCCAACCCCCCTCCCCGCCCGCCGCCCGCCGCCCGCAGCCGCCCGCCGTCCGCCTGTTGCTGCGGGGGCCGTTCCGGCGGCGGCGCGCCCGCACCCGGGGACGCGCTCCACCTGGGCCAGGGGGGCCTCCGGGAGGACCCAAGGAGGGGCGGGGGCGTTCGAAGGGGTGGAAACCTCCCCTCCTGTCCACCCCCTTTCTTTTGTCAACTAGTCTAAGGACATTTGGCCGTTCCTCCAGCTTCTCCTTTCTTTGGTCTTTCGACTCCAGGGTGTGAATTCCCAGGAGGCGCTCGATTTTTGGTGGGTTTTGGTGATTTGGAGTGATAAGACTTAAGTTATCCTTCCTGTCCATCTTATTAGGCTTTTATTCAGGAGCGGGCTAGAGATAAATAGGTGTAGGCCGGGCACCGAGGAAAAGAGAAGGAAGCTCCCAGTTTGGATTTATTTGGGGGGAGAGAGAGAGTAACTCTGGAAAGTTGCATTTTGTTTAAATTAGAGCAAGACAAAGTTGAAAGCCAGGTTTCTATAATTTTTCTGGTGATATTTCTTTTATGAAGTATCTAAGTGTCTGTTTGTCATCATTTTGAGATCAAAAGGAAAATCCATATGCTGCAGAGTTTTTCGAAATTGCTATTTAAATATGTTTTAAAGGTTTTATCCAACGTGGAGAAGGCTGCTCAGAGGCAAGGCTGGTGACAGGGATAGCGGGATGGTTTGATGTGGAGCAGTGGTTTCCAAGAGTGGCAAGTAATCAAGAATCACCAAGGGAGCTTTTCAAAAACAAAGATTTCTGGGCCCATCCCAGCTAGGCAATCAGTGGGAGGACCTGGGCATCTGGGGGTCATGCTGTGTTTCCAATTACTGCTCAGTTACTGACTCTGTGACCTTAGGTGTGTTACTTAATCTATCTGAGACTCAGTTCTTTTCATCTGTTAAGTGGGGATAATATCCAACTTACAGAGTTGTAGAGAGTAAAATGGTTCAGCACATGATTGGTGTTCAGTGAACCTTTGGGCCCTTTATATGCACACCGTTCACCTTTTAGGGAATAAACAGTAGAATTAGTGCATGTTTGGAAGCTAGGCTCTATGCTCTTGGACCTAGACCTGTCCATCCTGGCAGACAGGAATCATTTACTGATCTGAAGTCTGCTTTTTTCCTTTCTTTCTTTTTTTGGTCCTCTCACCTTCCATGCTTTTGGATGGCAGACCTTTCCTACAGAAGCTGCCCATCAGACCAATGAAACCACGGGACACAAAGTTCTATTCAAGAAGAGAACAACAAGAAAGAAAAAAAGGTCAACAATCCTAGGTAAAACTAAGACAAATGTATATCATCTATGGTATGTTTTTACATGTCTGAATGAACAACTCCCCCAAATCTCTGTAAAGTAAACTACAACTCTTCCTGAGATTCTTTTCAAACCAATGACCACAAGCACACCCCAAAATCATTAAAAGGGGGCCCAGGCAAAGAGAGCTGCGGGAAGGCAAAGAAAGATAGGCAGGAAGGTTCATCCCCAACTGTGATTCTGCAGTAGTGTGAGGGGAAGAAAGCCAGAGAAAGGGAATGGGCTGAATGAACAGAGAAACGTCAAGAAGGTTGACAGTTTTAGAACTGGAGATGGCCTGGAGTAGTTAATTATACATCCCCAAAAAGGTATTTGCTGGTACCTTCCAAAAGCTTGAGATGAGTAATCAGGGTGTTTCCTGGGCCGGGATAAGGGACAGATGGACAGCTTGGGGCATCTGTGGGCCCAGTCCCTAGTGAATGAACCCAGGGGTTGGGAGGAGGAGGCACTCCCTGAATGACAGAGAGCTCAAGCATCACCCCTAGATGCCTATCTTCCTAGGGTTTGTGAATATCTTTGGGCAAGTGTGGAAGATTCCTGCTCTCTGGACCTGGGGGAAGTGGCTAGGACTCTCGGGGACAAAACAAAGACTCTCAAGACAACCACAGAGAAACACACATTTGGGGCCAAGCTTCAGGGAGACAGGTGACACTGACTTCTCACTCCCAGGGTAGGAGGAACACTTTGGCCTATACTTGAGATCCTGGTGGGGAGATGGGGGGGGGGGCAGGGGGCAGAGGCAGGATGGAGGGCAGAGTTTGAAGGGGCCAGGGATGGGTAGGGGAGAGTGTCTGTCGGTGAGTGTGGGAGGGGAGTGGGTGGGGGTAAGGAGAGAGTGTAGGTGTATGCCTTGCAGAGCACAAGTTGGAGAGGTCCTGGGGTTCGAGGGAGCAGAGTTAGGGGGTGAGTGCAGTGGGGGGGGGGTGCCTGCGACTGGAAGGAGGCAAGGAGCACCAGTTCCCGGCGAGGCAGCTCACTGGGAGCTGAGTGGTGCATGGAAGTGTCTGGAGGGCCGAAGGGGAGGCAATAGAAAAGTTCTGGAGGTTACATATGTATGACCTTTGCTCAAGCCAGGATGAAGTGTACAGGGACTCGGCTTCCTCAGGCCCTCACTAGCCCGCTGAGATTTAGGAAGCCTCGGGCTCCCGCGCTTCTCCAGGCTTGACAGGAAGGCCTGAGAGCCTGCTGTGAGGCACCCCGGGGTCTCCCCCTGGGAGTGTGGGGGCTGGCAGGTGCACAATGGAGGCACCCTGCTCCCTGCTGTGCCTGTCCCTCTGCAGGCACAGCCCTTGGCCCCCCAGGACTTCCCCTCCTTTGCCTCCATCCCTACTCGAGGCCCAGTGTTGCTCCCCTCGCCCTGGTTCCCCTGGGCCTTCTCCTTTTCCCTCACAGATAAAGCACCCTCACCCCTTCATCACCTCCATGCTAAGCTGGTGGTAGTGCCTGGGGGGGGGGGAGCAGGCAGAGGGCAGGAGGGGGTACATAGCCCAAAGTGGACTCCAGGAAAATGGAACAACACCATTCAACAGATAACAAATGCTCGTGACACATGGCTAAGAATGGCAGTTGGTGACCCTATTGAGGGAACAGAGTGGACTAGAGGATTTGGGGTCTTAGTCAACACGGGTGGATAGTTATGTGTTTGAGTTAGTTGGGTTTGTGAGACTTCAATTAGAAGCACAAGCCTAGAAGAATCTGGATGAGGGGCAAAAGTGTCCACACCTCCTCCTCTCAATATCCCAGTGGTCTTTCAGTGAGAATTCAGAAGGAGGCAAATAGATGTAGTAATAAGCAATGATAGATAATTCAGCATTTATTGAGCACTTCCAATGTTATAACCGTGCCAGATGCTTTACACCCAGTGCTGCCATTTTTTAATTCTAAAATCCCATGGATGATAAGACACACTATCAATGGCCTTTGAGAGAAAAACAAAACGTGATATCCTTAAATGTCCAATGGATTGTAAGACACACTGATTTCAGGAACATAATATAGTAGGAGAAAAAGTGAAACTTAAAAGGGAAGAAATAAAATATATTAAGTGTAGTTCTCTCAATAGCCCTGATAAGAATTATCCCCACTGTATGGATGAATAGACTGAGGCTGGGGAAGGTTTCACCACTTGCTCAGGGCCACAAAGCCAGTAATTTGCAGTCTAAATTGGCACCCATGTTTGCCTGCGGTCAGAGCTAGAAGAGTTTCTCCTAGGGCATATAACCTCTGCAAGACTGGGCTTTGTTGGCTTTTTCCTAGCCCTGATTCTCTCTCGACCCTTTTACCACCAACACCCCTCCCCCACCCTCTAAGCTATGGAGATTTCCATGAGGAGCAAGTAATTCATTGGGGGAGAAAAGGTACAAAATAGTCAAATTACATTCTTCAGATTCAAATAGAGTCTTTAAAAGGGTAAAAACCATGCATGCCAGGTTTTGCTGTGCACTGCAGGAAGTCCATGAATTCAAGGATCCCTGTATTGCTGAAAATAGAATTGTAAAAAATAAAAGGGGTGGGGGGAGAAAGTGAACGAAACTAATCCTATTAAACGTGGTAGCATGTTTTTGTGGCACGCAGGGAGAGATTAAGCACAGGAAAGGGGATAAGTACTGCTTCAGTTTCACTAAACTAATGTGACAACTTGTCATTGGAAATCTTTGCAGCTTGTTAGTAGATGACTAGCTGATTCAGAAGTGTTTTCTATCATTCCCTTTGTGTCTCCCGTGAGGGTTCTTTTTTTTTTTAATTTTCTTTCTTTTCCTGTTTCTTTCTTACCCATGCTGCTCTATTTTGCTTTTTAATCCTTCGTGTCTCCTTCAAGTCAAAACATTTAGCTGGCTCTAATCAAGATTTGGTTTTGAAGATGCACTTTGACCTCGAGTGGCCCAGAGAAGCCCCGGAGGGGACTGCTCTCCATCCCCAACCCGGGTCGGTCCATCCTGTGGCTGGAAAACCCAAGCTTCTGGGGAAACACTCTCATTTCAGATTTTATTTTTCAACCGTCCTTCCCGTCTTCCCTTTCACCTTTATTTCTTTCTTGTTTTAACCTCATATCCTCTCCCGTTTGCCTTTCATTTCCAGGCTTCTGACTTTTTTTTTCTCACTTTCCCTTTCTCTGCTGTTTTCTAACTTTCTTCCCCTCACCTGCTCGCTTTCCATCTTCTCTTTCATCTCTTTCTTAGAATTTCTTTTCCCTCTTCAACGCACCCAGTAATGCTCTTATTTGAGAGATGGAATCCAACAGATGAGACTGTAGGATTCCTAGAGAAAAGTTGTGAATCCCTCACATGGGTTTTCATATTGAAGTAACTCTTGCTGGGGGGGAGGGGGCAGTGTCATAGGTAGGGGGTGTCAAAAGGCTGATCTCAATCAAGAGGAAGCAAGAATTTTAGGCTCGGTCACAGTCTCTCCAAAGCAGGTGTCTAGCGTGTTTGGAAATGTGGCTGACCGTCCCTCTCTCTCTCTTGCTTTGGCATGGCTTTCTCTCCCACCTTCCTCCTCCACCGCCCCCCCCCCCCCCCCGCCCCGCTCCAACTTTCCCCACTGGCTTACCACCAGAGGCGAGATGTTGAGTCAATGGAAAAACAACATTCGCCAACATTAAAGGGAGACTGTTTGGAAAAGGAAGGCCCCGCTGAGGTGCAGAGGAAGCCTGTATGTTAACACGGGCCACCTCTTATCTGGGGCAGCTGGGCCTGAGCCGCCTGTGCTGATTCCCTGGCTTTGCCAAGAGGCCTTCAGCAGAGAGGACAGGCTGCCTTGCAGGGTGGGGGGGCTGATCCTCATCCAGGAGCAGAGCATCACCAGCACTTTTAGAGACAAAAAGGCCTTGCTTTTCTCCCAGGGGCTTCATGGAGAAACCTGCAAGCGAAGTCTTGCAAAAGGCAGCAGTTCTCAGGGCCTTTGTCCCCGGACTTAAAACCAGGCCCTCTCGTTTCCAGTCCTTTCGAAGACGCCCAAGCACAGTAAGGACTGGCCATTCTGACCCGAGTGTGATTTATAGGGAAAAACAAGCTAAAGTGACCCAAAGGAGAATTAAAAAAAAAAAAAAGAAAAGAAAACAGAAAACAACAAACACACAAAAACACGTGGGTAAGTTCGCGCTGGCTCTAAATTGCTTACCGTTAAGTCTTGAGCCAGCTCCTGATGGAAAGATAAGGTAAATCCTTAATCAGTCAATAATTAACCGAAGCTCCATTAATGGTCCAGTCAACCAAATCCTGCTGACACCTTCAGAACCCTGCTTTAGTGGGAGGGTTAGGCGGAACCTTTTGATAGACCCCACTCTTGGATCACCATAAGACGGGTAGAGTTGTGTCTGGACCTGCCAGAGAAATCTTTTCTTAGGCTCACTCTTTTGGATAATTTCTGCAGATTTCACTTTTAGAAATCTCAGCGTGTGTGTCTGTGTTGTGTATAAAACAGTTTGGAGATCTATTCTGGTTTCAGATCAGTTTGAATCAAATCCCAGATGTGTTCTGCTCCTTACTACCTCAGTTTTCCTAGAGGACCATAGCTTTTCTTTCCTGCTTTGCTCATCATAGTAGTTTGCTCATTTTTGAAGTTTATTCCCAGTGTCTGTAGATATTCCTATTCTTACTTTCTCAATGTCAACATCTCTTCCATTTGTGATAAGCAACCACATAGCCCTACCAAAGCACGAAAATAATTTTCGAGTTTTAAATAAGTAGAAGATTAAAAGACTAATAAATACTGATTTTGATCTTTCTGGTAGATCAAGTTCTTTTTACTTCCAACAGAAGCAAATTTTTTTAGGAAGAGGGGTTAGGTCTTAAATGGTTTTTAATGTCATTTTTTTGTTTTTGCTTTGCTTTGTTCTGTATAGCATCTAGTGTGTTACGATATGCTTGTAGTTACACTATTGGATGAGAAAAATCAGCATATTAAGTGTGGTTTGGATTTTTCCTAAGGTCAAGCTGTAGGTCATGACTGGATGCCAGTC